CCCTTTTGCTGTCACTCGCTGATCGCAGCGAGAGTCGGCCACACCAAGCGATCATCGTCAATCGGACGAGGCGCTTGTAGATGAGCCCCGACGACGCTTGTTCGGCCGGTTGTCGTCTACCTTGAACTCGCCGCGATCGCGCAGCAGTAGACCGCACCGAAACCATTGACGTCGCCAGGCCGCGGTGTCCCCACCGACTCATCACGCTTCTTTTCCACTTGATCAAGTACTCCTGGCTGACGATCTCAATGGGTGGGAAGTCGATCGTCGAGACCACAAAACCCGTCCTTATTGGGCCATCGCCACCCATTGATCGTTCGGCCAGAGTAACCCTGGTCATTATTTTGCCTGAACGCCGGTTCGAGACTAAAGTATACTTTGTGATAGCGTCCGCGGTGCAAACACAAACAGCAGCGAGGGGAGAGCCGTCTCCCGTGAAGCAGGCAGTTGTATTGGGCTTACACCACGAAGGCAAAGATGAAGTGAGCTACCAGAGCTACAGGAGCTATCCCCATGACTACCGGATGACTATTCTAGGAAGGGTCACTACCGGCATGGAAGGATAGAAGGATACTAATCCTACGACTAGTATGCAATACAAAAGCCCTTACAACATACATCTTCACACGGCTTCTCCAGCTGATCGCAGCTTGCATTGGTCGGACATGGCTTAGCCTTTGATCCACACACAACACTTGGGTACTATTGGTTTTTGGACAGTATCTGGCCCAACGTGTGCGGGCGCGGCCTCTTCGATGCACTCTCTACGCCATGGAAGTTTGACGTCGGGACGTCCAAGTCTATTGCGTGGTATGTCACGCTTTTGCTCGCAATTGCCTATCGCATACATCTGCGGTGGCGATTGCGTCGACTCTTTGCGATTCCTGGGCACCTCTGGCAAGACGCGGTTGCGACGACGTTGTGTAGTTGCTGCGCCATCGCGCAAATGGCACAGCACACGACTGCGTACACGCCTGGCGAGCTAATCTCGATCATGCCCAAGGACACTTTACCCGGCTATGAAGTCTTGTAGGTGCTCGACCCCAAATTGTCTAGAGCTAGTGTGGGTAGAGTGCAAAGCGGTTGACGTGTGTCTGGCACGACGAAACAATAATACAAGAGCAAACACTGACTGATGAGTTGAGCCGCTGACAATGACAACATTTGTGGACCTGCGGCTTTAATGGCTCCCGTGTTCTCGTGCACCTTTTCGACCGCGTGTATAGTCTAGCGACAGTAGTCGGCACAGAGGTCCTCGCAGCGCACGTATGATCGTCGAATAGTTGATGCAACACGAAATGAATCAATGCCAGAGTCGTATTTGCTCTTGTATTATTGTTTCGTCGTGCCAGACACACGTCAACCGCTTTGCACTCTACCCACACTAGCTCTAGACAATTTGGGGTCGAGCACCTACAAGACTTCATAGCCGGGTAAAGTGTCCTTGGGCATGATCGAGATTAGCTCGCCAGGCGTGTACGCAGTCGTGTGCTGTGCCATTTGCGCGATGGCGCAGCAACTACACAACGTCGTCGCAACCGCGTCTTGCCAGACGGTGCCCAGGAACTCGCAAAG